TCTAATTTCTAATTGGGTTTCTGATTTTGTTTTCTTGGTGTGGGCTCTCTATTTGGTCTTTTAAAATTAAATTGATTTATTGTTAATTTGTTTGGGCTGTACACAATTCTTAATTATTTTCTAGAATGGGCCTTTTTTATTTAGGCCGCGGAAGTCAACAAAAAGGGTTGCATAGTGACGCTACAGTGACATGTTAGGCCTTATATTGGGCTCTTTTTTGTACATCACTTTTTTTGTTACTGTTTTATTTCTAGACTTTTGTTTTGGGCTTGAATATGTTTTTATTTTTTTCTGGAAAGTTTTATTTGGGCTCTATATCTACTTTCATGCTATGAGCCATTTTGGGTTCATTAGTGGCTATAGGCATACAATCGGCATCTTTCTTATACATTGAAATACATGTAACGCATTTTATTTTTCATGCCAACGGGGTTCATATGTAACTTAATAAATTAAATACATGTGCACATATGAAATGTCCAAAAAATATGATTGTTTATTATTACAGTGATTCAATATCTCTTACGTTGGATTCATATAGATAAATCAACGTAATAAAAGTATTATTAAGTTTATATTACCAACGTTAAAAATGGCAACATCAAAGGTAATTATCCCCCTAATTCCCCGTCAAGTACTTGAATATGATTCTATAATGCTGAATATAGGACAATTTTATTATTAAAAAAAGGTAGAATAATGCGTTAGGACAAGAAATAATGTATATAGTTTACCTTTCTAAAGAAGTACGCCTCCATATTTTTTTATGTTCAATTAACAATAATTCTTGTAAACGCGTTTATACATATGTGCATAGTGTGACCTTTGATGGTAACTTTTTTGTTTTTTAATAAACGTTGGGATATAACATTGGAGGTGTCATTTATCTCTCCCCATAGGTAGATATTTATTAATTGCATATTTAATTAGGATAAGATAGAATGACTTTATTATTTGTAGCCCACAAGTACCAGGAAATATGAATACATTTTAGTTTCATTAATTTGAGATAAATACATGCTTTGCTAATGTCTTTGCCCATAGGTAGATATTAGTGATATGTTTCCATAACTTGCGTGCTTTATTCATCTAAACATACATACATGGCACATTCAAATATGATTGGCTCAGATTCTAACTAGTGAGTTTGTTCGCTTGGTTTGTTTTTCAATTTGTAGTTCCAATTGCTACTCTTGAAATTGTTTCTGATTTAAGTAACATAGGAGTATTGGATGGTTCTAACTAACCAAATTGGAAGAAAGATGTTTTATTGTACCTTATAAGCATGGGCTTTGATTATGCCTTGAAGGTTGACGAACCCATGAGACTTGAAAATGATCCAAATGATTGAGAGGCTAGAGACACTTATGATCACTAATAGAAATCTAACAGCTTGGTGCTCTTATTGATTAAGACAAGGATTGTTAAAAACATTTGGGGAGCTATTCCTAAATATCACACTATAAATGAATATTTGCAAGAATTGGACAAACAGTTTAATCCCTCAAATGAGCAGGAAGGGGAAAAAATCATGTCTAAATTATGCAACATGAAACTTGTAGGTATGGGCAGAATCAGGGAGTACATTCTGAACATGAAAGACCTCGCCTCCAATTAGAGTCCTTCAACGAGTCATTCTTGGTGTGATTGATTCTGAATTCAGTTCCTTATTAGTATGAGGCTCTAAAAATCTCCTTTAACACACATAAAGATAAATGGACAATAGATGAACTTCTAGCCAAGTGCATTGAAGAGGAGATTAGTGCAGATGAAGGGAAAGTTACCAATGCTACCAGATGAAGATTGTATGGCTGATAGTTCTAAGCTCCGTAGTGTGAAAGGGAAGAGAAGGGAAATGATAAAATCCCTACTGCTCAAGCTATCAGAAATAAGGATCCCAAGTGCTTCTTTTGTAGGAAAAAAAGGCACATATGCATGGCTGGAAAAGAGTTATGTATATATCATGTGTTGTATTTGAATCTAATTTTTCTAGCATTAATAATGACACTTGGTGAATTGCCACTAATTCAATGATCCATATTTCAACTACCATGCATGACTTTCTAACAAGTAGGCCTCCACATCCCAATGAAAAAAAAGTCTTTTCAAGTAGTGGGAAAGGAGATCCTGTAAAAGCAATTAGAACTTTTCGCATCATTTTTTTAAATAATAATATTTTGGACCTTTTTGAAGTATTTTACGTTCCCTCTTACAAGAGAAATTTGATTTCTATATCAAAATTAATTTTATTTGAGTACCATTTCAAAGAAAATTATGGCTTTAATTAAAGACTCCGTTTTGATTGCGAACTTAGTTATGATTAATAATTTATTTAAAATTGTTTCTAATTTGCCTCAAAATCTTTTTGTTATACATGGTATTGAAAAAAATGTCATTGATGAGAACTCTCTTAGCTTGTGGCATAGAAGATTGGGACATACCTCCATTGAGAGAATCAAGAGGTTAAGTAAATATAGGATCTTCAGAGTTTAATTCTTGTATGGACTGCATAAGAAGAAATTAAACAGACTAACAAGTCAAATAAAGGGGCTAAGAGGAGTTTTGAGTTGTATGAAATTGTGCATACCAATAATTATTGCCCTGATTTGATTGCGCATGGTCAAAATACTTTATCACTTTTATTGGTAATTATTCATGATACATGTGTGTCTATATACTTTAAGTTAATAAATAAATATCTTAAGTGTGGCCCGTAATTATTTTTGGACCTACTTCAAGATGGGTTTGACTTAGTTAATTAAAAGTTATTTTTTCTAATGGTGAATAAGACACAATACATGGTAAACTAAGTGGGGCGTGAGTAACCTTAATTTCATCTCTACCCACTCTTCTAAGGATTTTTCATCAGTGACGACTACTTTTCTAATTACTATTATTGTGTTCAATCACCAGCTAGAAGATTTTTTATATTATTTTCTCTAATGATCCTCTTGATGTACAATTGTCTATTACTCATATCAAGGTCTATATCAAACCTACTGAGCTAATAGTGAGAGATGTTTATAAGTCTTTTGTTGTAACTCTTTTGAGTCACATGCAAATGCAATCTGGATTGGTTGTTTGAATTATACATATATTGTTTTTCTTGACATTGCCATTAAGTAGCCATCCATTTCTCTTACAAGAGGAGCAACAGTTGCATTTCCTATGGAAATAAACAAAGCACCCCCCATACTTTTTTTCTTATTATTATAGTTATATGTAGTTAAAGATATATATATGTTACAAACAACAGAATAAAAATTGCACTTACTAAAGAGAGATTATATCTGAGTTCTTCAAAAGATTTGAAATACATTTACTTGATTAATTTTCTAATAAGGGATTTTTGACCAATTTTTCTTTTTCTTTTTCAACATTGTCTTTTTAGGTTTCTTTATCATCTTTCAAGAAAAAAATTGAAGGTTCATCGTATCTTTTTTATCATTAATGACATTTTCATTTTGTTTCTTGAATCGTCACCAGGGAGGGGGATTTGGGCACCCAATTGAGACAGTTCGTCTCTCCATAAGATTGTTCATTTTATTTCTTTATTGATTAATGTGAGGGCTAAAAGGAATCAATGTATATGACATTAAAATTACAAGAGGAGCAACAGTTGCATTCCTATGGAAATAAACAAAGCACCCCCCATACTTTTTTCTTATTATTATAGTTATATGTAGTTAAAGATATATATATGTTACAAACAACAGAATAAAAATTGCACTTACTAAAGAGAGATTATATCTGAGTTCTTCAAAAGATTTGAAATACATTTACTTGATTAATTTTCTAATAAGGGATTTTTGACCAATTTCTTTTTCTTTTTCAACATTGTCTTTTTAGGTTTCTTTATCATCTTTCAAGAAAAAAATTGAAGGTTCATCGTATCTTTTTTATCATTAATGACATTTTCATTTTGTTTCTTGAATCGTCACCAGGGAGGGGGATTTGGGCACCCAATTGAGACAGTTCGTCTCTCCATAAGATTGTTCATTTTATTTCTTTATTGATTAATGTGAGGGCTAAAAGGAATCAATGTATATGACATTAAAATATGTGATAAGTATGTGAGTAAAATTTTGTTTTATTTCATATAAAAGTGCTCATGTCAAATGCTTCTGAATAATCACATAACTTATAAAATATTAAATTGATGTGCAAATTGTCTAAAAAGTTTTCATTTGAGAATGTTAGATATCTGAATATTTTTTAGATGCAAATTTGTTATAAAAATTTAAAATTATAATAATATTATTCTTTTCTCTTACAAAACTTAAAATAATTGTTAAAATAATATAGTTAATAGTTAATGTTTTTAACGATAGAAGATATTTTTACTATAATTTTAAAATTTTAAAATAAATTTGTATTAACTAGCACTCTTCAATAAAAGTTTCTAAAGAAATTTGCACCTAAACTCTCAAAATATTTTTAAAAATTATAATAAAGACCTACTCAAAAGAAAAAAATAAAAAAATCTCTTAAAATTATCAAATTATTTTGAAGTACCAACAAACCTTATTGCAAAAGATTTTATTTTTTTAATTATTAAATTGTTCTTATTTTTTTAAGTATACATTAACAAATAAAAGAACAGTTGTTAACAACTTAAGATGTAATGATTAATAATTATTGCAGCAAGTATTAACAACACATTTTCTCAACTTATCATAAAAATATAATGTATGAGTTATTAATATCTTCTGTAATAATTATTAATCGTTAACTTTAAATTGTTAACAAATACACTTTGAGTTGTTAATACAAACTTAAAAAAAAGATAATTTGATAATTAAAAAAAAATTTTTCACAGTGAAGCTTCAGATTAATTAGATATTTTAAGCAACTTTATTTGTGTTTAATTCTCTTAAATAGGATCTTATTGCAGTTTTTCCAATATTTTAAAAAATATCTGTAACTGTGAGCAAACCGAGGTCACCAAACCGAGGTCATTTTGTCTTGTTTTATGTTTTTTTGTCAACAAGGCGAGAAGAAGCAAGCGGTTACAAGGCTACAAGTGAGAGCAGACTGCAGAGGAAGCGACGCATAGACGAGAAGGAGAAAGAAGGAAAGAAGTACAATAAGGGGGAAAAAAAAAACGGAGAGCGAGAGAGATGAGCTCAAGCTTAGTGACACTGATTCTGGGAGGATTGTCGCTGTTGGTGTACTATGCTGCGAACGCGTTGTTCCTGAAGCCAAGATCGAAGAGAGAAAGGCTTCGTAAGCAAGGGATCGATGGACCTCTTCCTCACATTTTCTTCGGAAATATTCCAGAAATCAAGTCGCTTCGAATTCAGGAGGTTCAGTCTCGTTCTCTAAACGAAGTAGCTTCCGCAATTTCTCATCGCTGGCCCTTCACCATTTTCCCTCACTTGCAGAAATGGAGGAAACAATACGGTAAGGTGATTCTTCTGCGTTAGGTTTTCGCATATTTTGATGGAGTCAATTCGTTTTGATTTGGGGCTTCGACACTGTTTATTCCCTCTCTCCAATTTTACTGTAGAATTACTTACAGCTATCGATCTCTTTTGGCAATTTGGCCCCTGCTTTCCTAGAAAATCGAAAGATTGAAATACTCCTAAAAGAAAACGAAAATTCTGCAGATTGGCGTGTTGCAAAATGGACTTCAATATTTTCCAAGGATGTGTCATTGTGAAACCGTTTCAAAGTTTGTAAACGAATGTGTAATCGAACCTTTTTCTTTAAACAAAAATATTATCACCACTGGTTACTTTATAGTTTATCTTAATTTATTCTAGACACAACCTTATAGCCATCCGATTTTTTTTTTTTTAAAACTCTATAGTTAATTTTAATTTATAAAATTTTTATGCTTTTTATGAAATTTTTTCGTTTCATTTCATGAAATAAACGACACAGCATGAAGACCTAATTTAGAACGACTTGTGACTTAATTTTTCCCATATTTATTATAAGTAAAATTTTTTGCCAACTATTATAAGTAATTTAAAATATACAAATAACATAAAATGTTAATCATCCTTAGTCCCCCTTATTTCTTTTTTTTGGGCCAGAATCCTTAGTCTTCTTATAATATTACTTCCTGTCACTTTGTAGATATTATATTAAGGACATAAGGTAGTATATATACTTTTGTATTGAAATATAAATTGTTTTAAATTTATAAAAATTATATTTTACTCTTTTTTGACCCACGGGGCCATCCCTGCTTTGTCGCCATCTCAATTGAGAGGAAACAATCAACGCAAAAGAACAAAGAAAAGCGGCTTTTTTGTTGTTTTTCTATTGGCTATTGAAATATTAATTAATATTAATGAATGGGATGCATTTTGCAGGGCCAATATGTTTGTATTATGGTGGGAATATACCGTTCTTGATGGTCCAAGATACAGAGATGGTGAAGGAAGTGAGCTCGTACACATCTTTGAATCTCGGAAAGCCTTCTTATCTATCCAATGATCTTGGGCCACTGTTCGGCCAAGGCATAGTGTCATCAAGTGGGCCTCTTTGGGCTCACCAAAGGAAAATAATTGCTCCTCAGCTATACCTTGATAAGGTTAAGGTATGGTTTGGCTAGGTTTTTTTTTCCCCCTTCTTAATTTGTTTGGGAGAAAGACGTATAAAAAGAGTTGATCCAGCTGCACTTTCCACTATGGCCACCTTGTTGTGACTTCACTCTAGTCTCTAGTCACTAGCCCTGCCTTCAGCACCCTCCCTCCTTGTAGTTGTGGCTGAGGTAACAATCGGCCACAACTAGCTCCCATAGTGTCACAGGCAGTGTGTACAAGACCCTCTCACTGAAAGGAATTGGATCCATACCTGAAACATGAGAATTCCAGAATAGTTCATTGAAAGGACTTAATCCTATGAAGTCGTTAAAAACTATTATGAATTTTTTTTTGGGTGTAAATTGATATAATTGCTCTTAGTGAAATAGTTGTTATCGCCTTAATTATGTTTTTTCACCATTTGATGAGTTGTTATCTGTTAAATTGTTGTTGTCATTTTGTTTTGTTTTTTAGATTTGAAATTAAGTGCGTTACCAGACTTAATCCCAAACTAATCCCTAGGATTTCACAAATATATTGATTAAATTGTTGTTCATGGTGAAGGGGATGATAGACTTGATGGTGGAATCCACAAATATAATGTTGAAGAATTGGGAGGCAAGAATTGAAAGTAAGGGAGGAGTGGTTGCAGAGATGAAGATAGATGAAGATTTGAGAAGCTTGTCGGCTGATATAATTGCAAGAGCCTGTTTTGGAAGCAACTATGAAAAAGGACAACAAATATTCACAAAGCTTAGAATCATTCAAAAGCTCTTGTCCAAGTCACCTGTTGGGCTTCCAGGACAACGGTATGCTTTATACTCCCATGCCTATATATATAAATAAGCATCAGATTCGTAAAGTTCATACATTTGGAAAGTAAGTGACATAAATGAATGTGGCTTATTTGTTAAACCCACATCTCATTTAGGTTTAAAATAAATATTCAATTTTAGTTCAATTCTTTCCTCTGGTTCGTTAACTACTACAATATCAACCAAAATCATCTCATTAATTAAGGTTGGTTGCTTGGATTGTTTGATGCCATTAGGTTCTATTAATAATTAACTCTTTAGATATATTTTTCACCATGTATGAGGTCTTAATGTCTTAGATTTACACAACCCTCCTTTTTTGTTTAGACTTGGGACTGGCTATGAAAATAGATAGGTGAAGTTGGTTCAATGACCAATACAATATTAGTTTGAAAGATAAATGGTGAAAATGCAACAAATAAGCAGAGTACTTGGATTGGATTATGAGAAACGTGTGCATGACAGTTGATGAAATATATATGATATAAAAATGAAGTAAAACAAACCCCAAGAGACAGAATTGTGAGCTGTTCTTCCAGTTCGTGCTGCCACTAGTGGCAAATGTGGTATAACAAAAATGACAATTATGGTATATGAACTTGTTTAGGTACTTGCCAACAAGAAGCAACAGGGAGATATGGAGATTAGAGAAAGAGATAAACTCAATGATTACAAAACTTGTAAACCAACGCCTTAGGGAAGGTGATGAGCAGGATCTTATGCAAATGATTGGATGCTGTTATATGAACTCCTTAGATTGCTTCTCTGACTAAAATGGAGAGAAGTAAAAGTACAATAGAATGAACATCTTAAATATTATGAAACTTACTTTTGGCTCCTTGGACAGAAATTCTGTTTTTTCCTCTTTGACGTGCCATGTGGTACAACCAAAATGACATTGAATTTGCATTCGCTTGGTTTAAAATTGGAAATACACTGTATGCTCTGACTTCTTACGCGCATAAAAAGAATTTTTAGGCATAATTTTCAGCAAATATTTTCTATAGAACTTCAGGGCTATTTGATAAAAGGTTAAGGTACATCTAGCACTTCAAAATATTTTTTTTAAGTGTGTCTAACATCTTTAAGTTTTTTTTTTTTTTTTTAAACCCTAGTACTGGATGTATCAAAATATTTTTAGGTGCAGGACACACCTAAAAAAAAATACTTTGAGGTGTTAGATGTACAAAAGAATACCTTATGGTACTGGATGTATCACAAAATATTTTATAGTGCTAAATGCATTCGAGAAAATACTTTAGGGTGTTAGATGCACCTTAACTTTTGATAAACTAGTATATTACTATGAAGAAAACTTAGATGTTTAGTCTTCCATAAAACTATTTGTTTCCAATCAAATTAGAACAAGATAATTTAAAACTTCTGAAAAAAAAAAACAATATTCAATAACAATTGCATGAAAATATTATTGCCTTACCTGCAGATCACTATGGTGATCCAAGAGACACTCAGACTTTACCCGCCAGCAACATTCGTTGTGAGATCAGTCTTACAGGACATTAAATTGAAAGGAATTCTAATTCCAAAAGGAATCAACATTCAGATTCCAGTCCCATTATTACAGCAAGACCCTGAACTGTGGGGAGCTGATGCCCACATGTTCAACCCTCAGAGATTTGCAAATGGCATCAGTGAAGCTTGCAAGACTCCGCAGGCTTATCTGCCGTTCGGGATCGGAGCTCGCATCTGTGCTGGCCAGCATTTGGCGATGATAGAACTGAAGGTGATCTTGTCTCTGATTTTGCTCAGGTTTCGGTTCTCTCTCTCGCCTTGTTATCGTCATTCCCCTGCTTTTAGGCTGGTAATAGAGCCTGAGGAAGGAGTTGTTCTTAGGGTAAGCAGAATTTGATGTTGCATAGAATTTTGGATGTTTAAATTTTGATGTGTTTAGTTCAAAAGCGAACAATATTCAGTCCGTTTGGCATAGCGTCTTGGAGGAGAGAAAGTAACTTATAAGTATGATAAGATGGTTTGCAAATTTAGAAGCCGTTTATTATGACTTTTGGTCAATCTGACTTATGGGTTAAAAGTTAAAAAAGTAGCTTTTTGAAATTAAAAGACATTTTTATCCTTATATTTATGTTATTCTTATACTTCTTTTTATATATTTTTTGTACTTTCCAATCAATTTTTAGTTATTTGTTTTAATATTCTAAAACAATTTTTAACGGTTGTTATAATATTTTTAATTTTTAATATTATTTTTATTCTATATTTATATAAATTATACAAAATATATCATCCAATTAATATGTAATGTTATTTGGTTAAAAAATTTTCACATTAATATGATTTTTAATTTAAATATATTTTATTAATTAAATATAAATTTTTTATATTATAATAATTTAAAATTATTATACTTTGTAAATTCATATTTTTAATTATTTCTCATCATTTAATAAAAATCATACCTATTTTGATCATTTTGTAAATTAAATTTAGTTATTTAATCATAATCCAAATAATTTTTTCTCGTTACAAACTAACTTTTTTAAATACAAATTATACCACCAAATCTAACTTTTTTTTAATCTCATTTTTTTTAAAGTCAGATTAAAAATAAGTTATTTTTTTTACCATTAATCTAAACAGACCCATTTTCTTTTGCTTCTCAAGGATTCATGCTTGCACTTTCATAAATTTGAAGAGAAAATGTGAATGAGTTAGGTGACGTTTAATCTTACATGCGGAAGAATTCATCATAAAATCAACAAATTGATATATCATCATATACAAGGTGAAGAAGCACAACTATACCACTCTTCCTATTTATAAGTCCATTGTACCTCAAGCGTACAAAACAAAAAATGCATTAAATTAATAATTTTTCCTCCAAATTTGCTCTTATTAAAAAAAATATTAAATATGTTTTATATTTTCTATCACTTATTTTCTTCATTTTCTCTGCATTTATTAGGTCAATATGAATAAAATAAAGATTAAGATGCAATTTTAACCCCAATCTTTTTCTTCGGGTGCAATTTTGTCTCTGATTTTTTTAGTGATGTAATTTTGACCCTGATCTTTTTATTTTGGTGTAATTTTGCCCCTTAGGGTCAAAATTGCACCTAAAGATCAGGACAAAATTGCACCTGAGAAAAAAAGATCAAGGATAAAATTGCATATGAGAAATAAGATTAGGGATAAAATTACATTACTAAAAGATTAGAGACAAAATTACACTTAAGAAATAAGATCAGGGCCAAAATTGCATTTTAATCCAATAAAATTTAAAGAAAAGCTCATTAATTAGCTTACAAATATTTAGGAATAAACTTTTTCGTTACAAGTGATTTATAAATAGAAATAGAGTGTTATGTTAAATTTCTTTTTTATATTTAACTTTTTTATATCTTTAACGGTATTGCATGTTAAACTGTGTTGGAAAATTTTAGATTGGTTCAAGTCTCATGATACAGGTTATATATAAAGCAAAGAGAAAAGAAATTTTTCGGTTCTATTTATAAAGTATTAATAAATTTTTTTTATAGATGTATGATTTTATCTTTAACTTATTATGTTGAATTTGTTTATAATGGGATATAATGTATATTAAATAAAAATAAAATTGAAAATTTGTTGAATTTTAAATTAGAGTTAATAAATTTTAAGATTTTTTTTTTGTCTGTGTGAAATATGCTGGAGGTGACTTATAAATAGTACTAGATGAGTATATCCGAATGTTTTAACAAAAAAAAACTGTCGAAATTACAATTTTGGTTAGAATATCAATTTCGCATCCATATTTTTTTTTGCCAACCCCGTTCAAAGGTTTCTTTTTTTTCCGTGAAACCATCAAAAATATTTACTTTTTTTTTTGGCCAACGATCAAAGATTTTACTTGAATGTTATATCTTACATATTTCGGAAAACAGCTTTCTTGGTCAAAAAAAAAAGAAAAAAGAAAAAAAGAAAACGGCTGTTCAGTGCCTGTTCCTCCTTTATACAATTCTTTCTTTTTTTTTTTTAATTAAAAGTGCTCACACAAATTAGATTTAAACCCTCAATCAGCAGTCTTCTCCCCTTACCAGACATTTAAAAAAAAAAAAAATTCTAACTACTCTTCTATTTTGTATGTATTTTTTTTATATTTTAAAAACATACAATTTAGTCTAATCATTTAATACTGTTAGGTCTAAAAAGATTCTAAAAATATTATTTTTAACTGTAATTTATATTAAAATAAATTTTATTTACTAGTTTACCCTTCATTCTAAAAAATTTCTAAATTATATTTTTATAGTTACATGAATTTCATTTGGTTAAGATAAATATAAAAGATTTGATTAAAAATTTAAGTAATTTTTTCAATAAATATATATACTTGACTAAATATTTTTATAAATTTTTGTAATAAAGATGTGTTTAAAAGTTTTGAATTATAAATTTAATAATTTATAAAATCTTTCAAACTTATATCATTTAAACTTTACGATAAATAAAAACTATGTATTTGAAATATGTTTTTACAATTTAAAAGAAATTAAATTAAATAATTTTTAATGAATGTTATAAAAATTAAAATTATAAAATTTTAAGATTTAAATAAAAATTAATAAATTTTATAATATATTAGAAATTTTAAAAATATGTGTATTAGAATTATTTTTCATTTTGTAAAAAATATTTTTTGGAAAGTATAAATGTCTAAATAATTATTATGTTAAAAATAAGAATTTTGATTAAAAAATAATTTACAGTCAAACTTAACAGTTAACTAACTATTTGGGTGATGGAAGTGGAATCTTAACTACAGGAGGGAGATTTGTATAACATACGTTTTAATTTTAAGAGAAGTTTATATATGTTTTCAAAATAGAATGAAGGTTTCTGTAATTAAAATAAAATAAAAAAGTTAATCGGTGTATTTTAATAAAAAAAATAAAAAAGGCAATTGTATTACTGCTATTGTCACATGTTTTTTTGATTCTATTTATAACACACTTTTAACATGTTTTAAACATATCAAGAAAAATTTTAAACTATATTAATTTTTATTAAAATATAACAATTTTTTAACTTTATCCATATATAATATATACACATTTAAAAAAAAATCTATACTTTAATAAATAAAGGACAAAATAATACATCCATGTTAAAAATTTAATGAAGTGACTTATAAATAGGATAAAAAATTTCTTTTCTCTCTATCCTATAAATAGAATTGGAAGAGTAAAAATTAAAAAAATGAAACACTTACAAAATAATAATTACAACGATATAATAAATATTAAAAAAAAATTCCTGTCGGCTTGATTTAAAAATACTTCCTCTCTTGGGAAGACCGAGTGGCCCAGTTGAAGGCAGTATGCTACCCATTAATTGAATTTGTTTTGAAAAAATTAATCTTTTAGTTCTTATAATTTTTACTTATTTGTAACTCAGTCCTTATATTTTTACTCGATGCAACTCAATCTCTATAGTTTTGACTCGGTTATAATGCAGGGACTCGCTGCAACTAGGTCCTTATGCTTATACCCATTTTATAATTTTGTCCCTTCTTTTATTAGATATATAATTTTATTTTTCAAAAATACAATAACTAAATTATAAAATAGATAAAACTATAAGGATTGAGTTGCAGTCAAATTTTATGGATTGAGTTACAACCGAGTCAAATTATAAAAACTGAATTGTATCAGGCCAAAATATAGAAACTGAGTTACAACTATGTCAAAACTATAAAGACGAAAAGATTAATTTTTTCATCCTTTTATTTTTTTTTTTCAATTAAAGGGCAGATACTAATACATTGAAGTACAAGAGATTGAATCCGCTGCTTTCTACTTATATAAGAGCATCAATGCCACCAAGTAACAAGACCTTTTTCCTTAATTTAATCTTTCACCACGCCTCATGCTGGGTAATGGGTATTTTGTATATTGATCTTCTGCTTTCTTATTAATAATATTTCATCCTTCTACTCAAACAAAAAAACAGTATGACATTCTATTTAAAACCCAAAAGAAGCTAATCTAACTACTTAGATCAGCGGTCAAACCAATGATGAAATAATTAAATAAATTTTAATAAAATATTTATATACATACATAATACTTTCTCTTTGCTTTTTTCGCAAAAGACAATTAACAAAATTACATTGTTCAAAATGTTGATTAAATTAGTTGAAGACAATAAACATGTAAAGAATATAAATTTTTTGCCAAATAGACTCGTACAAGAGAGACAATATGTGAAAATTACAATTATATGAATAATATGAGTAATTAAATGAGGTTAAAATAGAAAATTAACAAACAAAATTTGAGACATCATCCAAATATCGTTTATAAAGAACATATCATACCCCATAATTGTCTCTTATAAAAGGAAATGGAAAGAATAATATAAATATATATTTATATATATGAAACAAACTTTTCATAAGATTAATTATAACACAATATATAAAGTTTTCAATGAAACAACACCCTACAAATGATCTAAACATATATCACACTTTTTACATTTTATTTTCTATTTTGATTTTCTTCAGTACTTTTTGTCATGCCCAGAAATTATACAGTTTTCTAAAAACCGTTTCAATTTCCCGTCCAAGTTTAGACTCATTGGCAGCTCAATTTTGATCTAAATCGATTCAAGCATAAAAACTTTTTTTTTTTTTAAAATCCAAATCGAATTACTCCTTCGGTCCTTAATATAAGACCCAATTCTTAAGTTGATTTTGGTCCTAAATATAAGACCCATTTCTCATATTTATCAATTTTCTCTAAATTACCCCTATGGATACTCCCTCAACCATAATCAAGTAGAAGAGGGAGAGGGGTATTAAGAAAGATGATTATGGTGTTTTAGGAAAAATATGTCACTTTTCTTATAATTAACTAACTTACCTAACTTCCTTAATCTAATCAAATTAGTTAAATGGGTCTTATATTAAGGACCAGAGGAGTATTAGCAAGTCTAGTTGACCGTCCAATCAATTCGACCGTCGGATCTGATTCTTTGATCATTGCTAAGTACCACCCATGTTTGGTGGTTTTCTCATTTGGCGTTGGTCCAGAAAGAGAAGAAATTATTAGGAGACTAAAAGCAGCAGGAAGCAGAATATTACTGACATACCAGTTATTGATTTTTATTTGGGAAAATTTCACTGTAGGACCGCAGAAAACAATTAATTTCAAAGAGCCCCCAAAACTTTCTGAAACTTCACTGCAGGACCAAGGGGGCAAACTGATATTAATTCCACAAAGAAAATGACGTTATTGCCCCTCATAATACTTATTGCAGGGTGACATGTAAATGGACTAATTTCAGTTATAAATAAAGGTATGTATGTTGCAAATTGACTAGTCCCACTTGCAAATGGGTTCTCTCACACTTATTCACTCACAGGCACCTTTTTCAGGTGAATGAGATGATATGTAAATGGACTAATTCTAATTGTAAATAAATGTATATATGTTGCAAATTGACTAATTCCACTTGCAAATGGGCGCTCCCACACTTGTTTACTCACGGAGACCTTTTTCAGGTGAATGAAGTGACATGTAAATGGACTAATTCCAGTTGTAAATAAATATATGTATGTTGCAAATTGTCTAGTCTCACTTGCAAATGGGCTGTTCCACACTTGTTCACTCAGACACATTCTTCAGGTGAAGAAGGTAATATGTAAATGGACTAATTTTAATTGTAAATATTTATGCATGTTGTAAATTATCTAACCTCACTTGCAAATGGGTTCTCCCATACTTGTTCACATGAGGGGCAATAGGGTCATTTTCTTTGTGGAATTAATATCAGTTTGCCCCCTTGGTCCTGCAGTGAAATTTCAGAAAGTTTTGGGGGCTCTTTGAAATTAATTCTCTTCTGTGGTCCTACAGTGAAATTTGCCCTTTTTATTTGGACACCTTGCCATAACCCTGAATCAATCCATAAAGTTAATACTACAAGGAAGGACCAACATGATCCTGGAGCACTCTCAACCTATTTTCACTGACTTCATGAGAAGAAAGATCGATTCTTATTACGTTCCAGTCGAGCCTCCCTCTGCAGAAACCAAGAACAAAAGCAGCTAAATTAGAACTAACACAATTCAGCACGAATTGGACCATATGCGTTTGCATATTATTTATGTAAGAATAAAAAAGCAAATGTGAGAATAAAATAAGAAATAACATTGTCAAGCAATGATATGATAAATTCACAAGCCTCAGCAAATAGTTTAAATCTTTCAATTCATACAAAAACACACACACACACACACACACACACACACACACGAAACAGAAAATTGCAGATAAGGACCCATTCAAAAATTTAACTCGGGAGAAGGAGCTAGACTTCTACATCCAAAAAGTTAAAATGCAGACTTTTTTGCGTGGCCAACAAAGGACCTGATCAAAAATCTGCATCTTCCATGTTCCACGTTTAGCTCCCATATTCTGCATCCTTTTTTCTTTTCTTTTTTTCCCGTGTTTTTGGCTGGAGAAATCTAGGTTCTTTTTCAAAAATATTTTTGCAATCAGGTCCTTTAAATGTATAATGTTTGATGAGCACAGAGGATCACTCCCTGTATAAGCCTCCTCTGAGACTTGTGCTATTTTGGAAAAGCCTCCATAGTACTCCAATACACTGCAGTGTAAAAAGGTTCCACATACCAACCACAGGAAGTAACCCACCGACCACTCATTATAATCTAATAGAATTACTAGGCAAAAGAAAAAAATGTCTGAAAAATAAGTTCCTGTACCCTATCCATTGGCCATCAAGCAACAATGTTAGACAGTCCAGAACTAGCTGTCTAGTTTTGTATAGATATGACTAAAGTTTAATAAGGGTGCACCATTCTGCAAAAGAGGATGAGGAAAGCATGAAAGGAATCAAGGAAGACAAAAGTTGAGTCTACAGGCATTAAAGTTTTCTTATTTGGTGCGTTTCCTTTGAGTACTTAATTTCTTTCCGCCAATTGTATGCACCCCCTGCTAGCATGTAGGCGGCAAAAGATGCCTTTCGATCGTCTATACTTCCTAGGACCTCAAATATCTTTTCTATTTGTTCCAACCGTTTATCTGCCACAGCTGGCTTATATTCTCCTCAGACGGATGGTGGTTTGGTCTTTTTAAATTCACTGAAAAAATTCATGCTTCGTGCTGGGTTCAGAACATGTTGGTCTTCTATAACATGCATTTGTTCTTCCCATTCTATCTCCTAATTTTCTTCAAGATTCAGGTGTTCATATTCGGATCCTTGAAGTAATTGCACCAAGTGTGCCGTAGCCGTAGCCCTTATAATAGCATTAGTTGTTGCCTCAGTTTGCTCACGCAAAGCAGTGGCTATTGGCCCAATAGCAGTTAGCGCATTATTGCCCAGATGACCCTCATTACTACTACATTGACTTCACCTTCCTAGTGCAACTTTCTGCACAACAGAATAATTACTATTACAGTGATCAATCCCATTGTTCACCGCTTTATTCTACTAAGTTACCACCTATGTATAAAATGAAGGTTTTATTAATTCCTATATAAATAATTTAGGACCATTCTGCTCCCATACCAAAAATGTAAACCCTTTAGATTTTTAATCATATTTCATTTTGTTTACGATGAATTATATGTATATGTATCTATTTAATCATAACTATTTATAGTAAAATAAAATTATACACACACACAGACACACGTATGATTAGATAGTTATGATTAAATATATACATATACATATAATTCATAGTAAATAAATGAAATATGATTAAAAATCCAAAGGGTTAACCGCAATCACTTCTCCGAAAGTTTGAATCCAAGAGCTTCCTGCTTCAGTTCTGAAAAGCATGGCGACTAATACAAACAAGAGTAGAATCTTTGAGCAAATGATTTGACTAGAATCCCTCTATTTCACATTCCGATGCCATCTTAAACTTGGCAAGCCAGCCTCAATTTTCTTTTTTTAAACAATCAATTATACCTAATATTGACGTGGCACTTTAAGGAAGCTCATGTAGTTGGAATAGCTGGTGTTTAGGTTAAACTTAGGTTCTTAGTTCAATCCTCTTATCATACCAAGATAGTGAGAACAATAATATTGATCTAATCCACCTACATAATACAGATTTGAAACGGGACTACATGATTAGGGGAGAGTACTTTACTAATGATTATTAGAGTTAACAAAGTCTCTTCTCATTTAGTTATTTATTTATTGACTATGAGATAAAGCTATAAAACTTGGCTTGCTCGGCTAATTTGCTACCCACTTCACACCTCGGAACATACCATTCTTACAAAGAGAGAGGTGCTTTCACATCTTCTCAAGCCAAAATGGCTGGGGATAGGAAATGTTCCCTTTTTTAACGGTGCTCTGGGGAATAGATACAGTGGAGACAAGGTAGGGTCCATAGCTCAAAGGATTAGAGCACGTGGCTATGAACCATGATATCGGGGGTTCGAATCCCTCCTCACCCACAACCAGCCAAACAGGGAAGGACCTTTCACATATGCCCTACTTTGTCTTTCCTGCCTTGCTTAATAACCTAGATGGATGCCTAGTCAATATTCTTGGGGTGGTGGGAAAGTAAGAACATAGGAATTAGAGCTGGTACGGGTCCAACCCACCAACCCATAACAAATGACAAGTTAGGGTTGGCTAAAAGTCAACCCGCCAGTAAACAAAGCTTTTCAACCTGCACCACCGCATTTATTTTTTTGTATTTTTTTAAATTTTATTAATCATTATAGCTTATATTTTATCTAAAAATTAAAAAAATACCTGTATCATTTATTTATTTGGTGTTTTTAATCAAGTATTTGAAGGAAAGATAAAAATTTTATTATATTTTTTTTATATTGTACAATGAAAAATATTTAAAAAATGAAAAAATTAAAAAAAAAATAAAATAAAATAATAGTTGGCGCCAACTTGTCAACCCACCATGGCGGGTTAGGGTTGGTCAAAAGCTAACCCGCTATTACATGGGACCTTTTGAATCTACACCGTCTACCCTGGTGGGTTGGCTCATGTTACCACCCGTAATAGGAGCAGCACAGCTTTCACATAGACATAAGTGAAAGTCATTATGACAATCCAATACAAGGTAAATTACAATTTACCTCCTAATGATTTGGTCCAAAATCAAATACCCCTCTTGTTGTTTTAAGTGTCCCATTCAACCCTTCCATATTACCACTTCAATAACGAGAAGTCAAAATGGCACACAATTTCATAGTGAATATGTATCATTTTGAACATAAACGGTTCAATAGTCTGTAAAATTAAACGTTTTGGAAAATAAATGCGTCCAATTATGGCCTCAAACACTATTAGAATGTCTAAGCATCCAAGTTATATAATTCCAAAAGAAACATTTAAAAAATGATACATTTCATCCATCTAACAATAATGTGATCATATTTTATAACATTTGGATATAAAAAGACCACAGGTACTTAAGAGCAACTGAACAAATTACAAAGGTTCTGAATGTGAAACTTTAAACCAAAGGGAGATAGTTGGCCCAAAAACAGGGGGAAAACACAGGGAGATCAATTTAGTCTAGGCCGAACCAGAAGATGGTAAATTATAATTTGATGTCCTCCAAGATATAATCACGCCTATCTTCATACATCACGTTACAGATAAAGCATCATTACTCAAATGCAACACTAGATGTTCCATTCCAAATTTTTCAAATGCAAAATATATAAAGACACAAGGTAAAGATGAAAATAATTCCAATACCTCCTTTTTCTTGCACTCCTTGTAAACATCAAAATGTTCTTGGCATTTACTCTTATCTGAATTAAATTCTTCAAGACCTGAAAAATTTTAGAGCAGTTAGATACACTAATAAGAGGCCAAGTTGCAGAATGGAATCATCCGTTTGCGTTATTTAATTATACACCCTACACATACTTCTTGACTGAATTTTCACTAAATATTAGTCATGGGTTCAGGATTCCGATTCATTTTATTTCACATGATCATATAAATCCATACCAATTAAAAGTTATGGGAAAACATTACTCCACACATTTTGATGCAAAATAGAACCAAATAGTCAAATACTCATGCACCAACTTAAAAACAGGCAATTCAGTTGACTCACACACCTTGTGCACGAGAGAAACCAGAGAAAATTGAAGGAAAATATTGAAATGTTTTATGTTTCATCCTAGGTGCAGGTTATAGAAGACCTCAAATTAAAGGAAAAGATTAAAAGTAGAATGAATCTGGTAGATTTGTAGAAGAAAAGATGAGATAAAGAGAGAAGGAGAGGGGAAAAAGAACCACACAGAGAGAGAGAGAGATAGAGAGAGAGACTGGAATTGCACTATTTATTATTCAGAGAATTGACATAGGGTATTACAATCATCAGTTACCCTTATATATAGACTATGGGTAACGGCTATATTTCTAACTAACGTTTCCTTTAACTAACTAACCTACCCACTGCACTTTATTATTTACAAATCACATATCAGAATCCAATTTGAAGAATTTTTCTTCATATTTATTAATCTTGTCATATTTAAGTGTTGCTCACTTTAATCTGAGAGTTGAAACAACAAAAGGAAGCATCCTGTGAGTTCATGTAATACGTTCCACAAAGTTACTGTGCACTTTCATACACAATTCCTTTTAGAGGCAATGAAGCCAAAATCCTACCACTTGTGAATCAGCAGAAAAATGCTCGATTAGTCAAGCCTCTCCCCTCTACATTAAAACTGATTGCATCTACTTTTCTTGTTTACGCTGGATAAGCAGATTCATGTGAATATATTCCAATATATTAAGATGCTTTGGCTACAAAATTTGCCAAATGAAATTTTCTGTTGTCATGCTCAAATTCCTTCCTAATGCAAGGCTCTCATTTGAGTCACACATAGATCAGACTTTCCTTCATGCTCAAATTGAAGATCCAACTGGGTATAAAGTAAATTTGGAAATAGAAATGACATTTCACAAAGCCTAAACTCTGTTTTCTTATGCACGATACAGCAAAAAAATAAAATAAAATAAAATAAAATAAAAAAGAGAGATAATGGCATTGATAAACCTTTGACTTCTTCTGATCCTTAATACATCAAAGAAGTAAAATGAAAAGCAGAATGAAACCAAGTTGATAGCTTTCCCTCCATATTGTTTTTATATTTGGAAGTTAAAGCAAAGCTCCCATTCCTACTAAGTTAAAAACAAAGATGTATCTTATGAATTGTTATACGAAGTTTTACTGAGTCATCCTCGACAATCGAATATAATTCCTGATTTCCGGTAGTACCAGAGATACCAATTCCCTCCAAGGGTGAATCAATAAAGAAATGCTCTAATTGACATTTCACTATGCTAGTCGAGCTACTAATCTCCACTTAAACTAAATTCATTGATGACTTGCTCAGTGAGGCTAAAGAGTTACAGATAATCACATTAAAAAACGGCAAACGAAGTATAATTTCATATCAATAAATTTCAAGGCGGAAAGTTAAATACATATCTAAGCGAAACCAGAATCCCTAAACATGTAACAATTCGCAAACCTAGCTTCGCTTGCAATATTGATCACGTCTTGAATGAATTCCAGATTGAAATTCAAGAACCAAAAAACACAGAATTGATGAAGAGTAAGAGTCTTCAGTGTCTTACATTTCAGAGATGCAGTGTATTGAGGAAAACAGGGAGAGTCAGCGATTCTAGCAGCACCAGCATATGGCGGTGTCGTTGAGACTTTGGACGCCATCCCCGCGACTTTTCTCGGGAATTCTGGCCTGTTGAAGCCGAGCAGCGCGTGGGTATTAACAGAGAGTTGGGGGGAAACAAATAAATGGAAGAGGGTATTGCGTGATGTTCAACCAATTTTTATTTCTCATATTTATTTATTTCTTTTAAAGATAGTTTTTTTAATAACAGTAGTTCTAACTAATAAATTTGATTAATAAATATATTTAAAAAATACAACACTTATTTGCTACAAATAACTAGCTTGATTAGTTTTCTTATTCTACTGAAATTAGTTAACTAACTCTTAGGTTACGTTTGGTAGGGAGCATTAAAAACGAGAGATTGAGATTGGGATTACAATTAAAAAAATCTATTAAGAGAGTGTTTAGTATAAGAGATTGTTTGATATATGGGATTAGCCAAAGCCATGTATGTGGGATTGGAGAATACCATGGAGGGAAGTGGTATTCCCCAATCCTACCTTTATGAGTTTGTCTAATCCCATATAACAAACAATTACTCATGCTAAGTACTATTTTAATGATTTTTTTCAATTGCAATCCCAATCACAATCCCTCATTTTTAATGCTTCATACCAAACGGGACCTTATAGTTAGAATAAGTAGTATTTCAATATTCAATATCATCATCGAATCAATGTCAATATTAATCAATATTATGCCAACAAAAAAACCCTGACACAATTGATAGACGATTGGTCTCTTGAACATGATGTTTTAGGTTTAAACGAGGCTGTATGCGTGAAAAAAAAAATTTTGTTGGGAGAAACAAAACCTACGTCAGGTTTCTTTAAGTTAACATTTTAGCCATCTAGCAATTAGCTGAGGATACTGCCTCGTTTCTGGAAAAAAAAAAACGTGTGCCATTTTTGGCCTGCAGAATATCTATTATTTGAGCAAAACGAAAATGTTACAACTGTATTGATATATTGTTAATCTAATTTGTTGATAATAACCGTTTGTCTTTTTGGACTGAGTTGATAATAACAGTTTTATTGTAGCTAAACTAGGAAATTTTGCTTCCCCTTCCTATGGATCTCATTCTTTTAACAGGGGTCTCCTCATTTTTGCTAAGGTGTGAATGGTCCTCAAATTCATACTTCAAAATTACAATCCTTGATTAGGATTCACGTAAAGTTGCAAGACAATATCAGTGGTCCAATAGTTTAATAACGCCCTTTTATGTTACTTTAATAAGATGAGAAAGATTTAAATTAGATGCTTTCACAGGGTTCATGGTGGTTACAAGGCTACTTCATTACTTTGATTTCACAGAAGTTGAATGCCGCTTTGTCTAGTCTATATGCTCATCACTATCCAGTTTGAAATCAAATTCATAACTTGCCTTTACAATATTACAGTGATCTAGAGACAACACATTATGTTGGTGACTGATTTGGAACTTCTACAAGTGGAAAGCAAAATCGTTTGATCTAACTAGCGAAGCCATTGAAAGGACTAGGACACAACGATAAAAGATCACAACACTAATTACTTTGCAAGAGACAACTCTTGGGTTCTGTTTGGTACAAAATATTAAAAATAAGGGATAGGGATTGAGATTGTAAGTGAGAAAAATCATTAAAAAAGTATTTAGCATGAATAATTACTTGTTACATGGAGATTAAGCAAAACTATTGAGGTGGGATTGGAGAATACCACGTCCCACCATGGTATTCTCCAATCCCATGTACATAGGTTTGTCTAATCCCATATAATAAGAAATCTCTCATGCTAAACATTCTTTTAACAAGGTTTTTCAACCCTAATCCCAATCCCTACCTCTCATTTTTAATACTCTGCATCAAACGGGACTTTATGGTATTGGTAAAGCAAGGCATTTGAGTAATGAAAAAAATGATGAAAAAGAGCAAGTTGTGGGTTTTCTTTATGTATAAATTTAAGTGATGCAAAAAATGCAATGAAATGGACTTAATAAACTAGAATGTAAAACATTAATATCTAAATGCAGTAAAACTAGCTAAAATGCAATATGCGAATCACTCTAAAATCTAAATAAAAATAAAACTAATCTAGATGAATGCAAATGTTATTTTTAGGGATTCTTTTAGGAAAAAATAAAATGATAAGTAAAGAAAATTAGTTAAATAATTAACACAATAAAAATGAGATGTTTTCTTCAGGTATGATGAAGTGGACAACTTAAAAATTCACATGAAGTTAAATTTCCTAGCAAGTTAAATTAATTAGATCAACAGGGAAGTGACAAAAAAGTGGAACTAATAAGTTTGATTACCTAATTGGTGCATGGGAAACCCTCAAGCAATACAACTCAAAATTATTTGAAATTAAATAATCCCAAGTTTTGAATTAAAATGATAAATGAAAAATCGCTCCTTTTTTGTCTTCAAATATTAGTCCAAGGCTCTAGCCTCCTCCATATTTCTATTAAGTTGCCTCCAAAGCAAGCTTAGGCTTCTATCAGAGTGTCTCCTCCTCTAGGCTTCAAGCAATAAGTCATAACCATGAGAAGAATTTGTGAAGCAATGATGATTGAATGGCATGGCCCTGTTTGTGTTGAAAGGAAAAAAGGGAATGAAGTATCATAATAGGGTTGAAGGTGATTTTGTCCTTGAAATTTTTCACAAAAGGGTTGTAAGCATGATAGTTTTTTTTTTTTTGTAATATTGTCACTGCAGAAGTAGTTAAAATGTAACAATGTAATCTTGCACTAACGGATCCAAACAATCAACCATTAATTGACTAAAAAAAATGTTAAGTTGGCTCTGCCACATAGGATATCATATGACTTATTATGCCACATAATAAAAAAAATTCAAAAAATATGAAATGCCAAAAGTGCCACTAACGCTCACCAAAACCTATCTTCCCATCTAGACAAACTTTGACAACACCCTGCTTCCTCCAACTTCGACTTTCTCTTGTGCCATGCTAGTTATGGCCTAAGCCTTTCACTAAGAAATTGCTAAGAAAAATAAAAAAGAAAAAAGAAGTTTTAGGATCATGATTTTTGTGTTGCTTGAACTAAAGTTAAGTTTTGTTGACATGCTTGGTGTAGTCAAAATCAAGCAAATAGAGCACTCTATTTCCTTCAATGTGTAATTAGAGTTTGAGGGCGGCTAGTGTAAGATTATTAGCAATTTCCTGATCAAATCACTCTCGTTGAATAGAAACCCCATTCTCACCCTCCGCTGCCTCTAATATTGACCTTGTACCATCTGGATAAAAGAACAACCTCTTTAACGACCTCTCATCACGAACCACCATCTTCATGAAGCTAGCCGTATATTCTGATAACGGTGTGGGTCAAGGGTCCTAAGGGGAGAAAGCAAAAGGAGGAAGAAAAAGCAATGGATGGTGTTTTAAAGGAGTTTTGAAGAGAGAAGTCAGCTTTATTGACAGGGAGAGAGAGGAAGGGAGTAAAACATCCGTCATTTTATCCCCTTTTAGTACGCATTTGGAAGCACTACTGTTCAGGCAAATTATTAATTGAGCTTATACATTAAAATCTTGCATTTGATTCTCGTGCTGGTATTCATTTAGTAATTCTAGATTTTTAATCCAATTTTGAAAATTTATAAATAATTATAAAAAAATCGTATTAAGGTAAATCAAGTTTTTATTTAAAGCTCTTTTAATTCTTTACAGGAAAAAAATATTCCTTAGGTTATTTACTTGCTCATTTAATACAGGAAAATACATGAAGGTGTATTGTTCATATAGTCAATAGTACTTTTCAAATTATCTGCTTTAACTCTGATGAATCATATCTTTTAGCACACACATTAATATTAAGTGATCTGCCACTTATTTTGAAGCTTAGGATATTTAATAGTTGCTCCTAAAATATCATGGGTAGAATCACTCATTTGCTTCACTTTTTCTCTGTCTTAATTTCATTACTCATGGTTGAAATGTTTATCCCCTTATTGAAATTAGCATGCTATAAACAATCATTATCTTAAATGCAACCATTCCAACACTCCATTAATATTCTCATGTCTTATCATATTCAATTTTGTACACCAACATCATCATTCATTAGTAAATAATATGAATAGGCATGTTTTTGAATACATCAACATAAAGAAGAAATATTACATTACAATACATAAACATATTTCTCAAATTCTTCTCTTCTTTCTTTTGATCCTCATCTTGCATTCCTCTTCCATAAGCATAATACTTATTATGGTTGGTTAAGGGAGGATGATATTTGGAAGAATCTTAGTAGCAATAAACAATAACAATAATGCCAACAACACAAGATTATTATGTAACATACATTAACTATCTTGCCATAAAAATAGAGCACATATTCATACCATAAAGGAAACTCATTTATATATGTTGTGGAGACATCAAATGCAAAGACTTTAGTACATATCATCATCATCATCATCATCATCATCAATAGCTCAACCACATTATGGCATAGAACATATAACAAACAACTAATGCAAGTTAACATTAAAGTTAGATGTTTTTGCTACACTGTACCAAGTCTTGATTCTTGTTTCTGTTCCCTTAAATTTAAATCTCAACTCCTTGTATGGAAGCTTGAACTTGCTCAAGTTCTCTTGCTCTTGTCTTTCTTTTTTCTCTGTTCTTTTCTAGAGCAAAATTTCACCCTCTTCTCCTCTCAATTTGGTCAAAATATTCATGCATTGGGGGTATTTATAATGCCTCTCAAACCATGAATCTTGCACAAAATTACAAGGGTGATGTGTCATCTTCTCCAAACATCCATGTAAATTCAAAGACTCTATTTTGCCTTCAAAACTTTGAATAAATTATCATTGCCATTGTCATCATCTCCATGCTCCCATATGGTTTTATCTAGAAGGTAATTCCTTTCCAATTTTTCCCTTTAACAAAAGTTACAATTTCATGACAATTCCTTTCCAATTTGCCCTTTGACAAATGCCAAAATTCCAATACTATCCCCTTATGAAAAATGGCACCAAAAATGGAAAGAAAATAGGGAAAATTTGTCCAAAAATAAACCCTGTGTTATTCCTCCATCAATTTTGTAATATTGCATTATTTCGGGTCCTAAATTACCCGGTAGCAC